ATTTGCTGTTTCCTGGTGATAATCAGTAATATTCATGACTCTAGGGATGTGGGAGTGCTGCTCACCTCACTGAGTTTTTCTTGTAAATATTTTAAGCATGGCATTAAGTATGATTTTAAGAGATTAATACTTTCTCATTCTTTTTTTCTCCTGTTTTTAAGCACCCACTTACCTTTTGTCCTTCTTTTCCTGTCCATCCCTTGTCTTCTTCCCATCATTCAATGAGAATCTAAGTTCTTGTGGTTGTTTCAATCTGATTTTGCACTAAACAATCAACTTACCAGAGAAACAGTGAGAATAAACTAGTGGGGGTATATTTCTGTTCAGAGGAAACAGTGAGCTTGTACAGTAGTGTTTCAGCCGCAGGAAAGAAATACTTTGAAGTTGTTCAGAAAGGGCAAGAACTTACTTTTCTCTTTGTCCTTCACCATCTTCTGTAGGTGGGAACTTGTCGGCTCTGTGTCGCACTGCAGGGCAGGGGCAGGTGTGGCCGTGTGCTCCTGTCTCAGCAGCCAGATCCGTGACGTGGGCCAAGGATCCAGCAACGTTGTTGACTGCATGTGAACACTGCTGCCTCCTCCAAATTCCAGAGGAATAGCAGTATGGAGGCACTGGAGAGCTGTTTAAGAACAGTGTTTTGTATGGGAGGTTATGAAATAAACACAAAGCATTTTCTTTGTGAAAATGTTACTTATTGCAACATTAAGGTTTTGGTGGAGTTCTGACAGCTGTGATACAGAAAAGCCTGTGGAAATATGGAATAGAAGTCTGTCTTATAGGAGAAAACCCACCAGGGCTGTGGGTGTACTTACTGTAAGCTGTGTACTTACTCCATTTTTAAGAAGTTGGAATTTCAAAATCATTTCAGGCAGCTGTTGCAGGGACTCATTATTGAATTGTAAACCAGGCACTGGGTGGGAAGAGAGGAGCAGTTGGCACTGCTGAGCCTTACCCAGCAGCCCTAAGTGTTTTCAGAAGGACTAGCGTGCCATTTAATTTAACTTATTTTTCAGAAATGTAGTCTTAAACATTTACTAGATCCAGAAGCGCTTTGAAACACAAAGCCTTTCAAGTTTGAGACGGTAACGACATCCCTGTTTCCTACGAAGCTAACTGGAGCAGAGAGGTTAACTGCTCACCTCCCAAGGGACTGAGCATCCACAGCTGCTGCTGGCTGCAATGGAAACTTTCTTCAGACCGAAGACAGTCCAGAGCTGTCTTTTAAGTACTTTCTAACTTGTTGCAAAGTTGAAAAGATACTTGACCTGCTTGTGGGACGTAACCACTGAAATACTGGAATTCTTCTGTCTAATGACTCCCTCCAAAAGGGAGGTTTCTCTTGAGAGATCAATACTGAAGTATAATTTGTAATACAGTGTAATTTGTCCTACTTTTAGATAATAGCGTGACAAAATTCAGAGTTCAGCCGTCTCTGAGTTTGCTAGTACCATTTTTATATGAATTAGAAGTGGCAGTATTCTCTAATGACCAAACACAAATCACCTCTAAATGCAACTCTAGGAGCTTACGTGTCCAGTTTCAGTATCCAGCAGCAGCGCAGCGATAACGGTAGGGCACTGGCTTTTTTCTTTTTTCTAAGACTGTTCAAAAAGAAAGAATCCATCCCCAAAACAGTTTAAATGACTGAAAACTTATATAAACCAAAGAGAATCTGCAGCAAAAAGCATGGGAAACAAAACAGCACTTACATTAAAAATTAAACCCAAAACTTAACTCTGCCCTGGGCAGAGATACCTTGTTACGCAGTCAGAAACCCTGTATTCAGGAGCAAGTCCAGCTAGAAAGTCTACCGATTCCTATTCCTGAATCACCTTGAACAGACCAACAACTGACCAAGAATCTTCTGTGACCAAAGTTTCACATGACAACGTTTTTCAAGTGACTGGAGAGAGCACAGAAAACTTCTTTGCATTCAGTACCAGAGAAGAGCTGTGGCTATACCAGCATATAAAGCACAGCAATGTTTTACTCTTGCATTACCATCGTTTAGCTTTTCTGTTTAAAATTGCTTGCATGTTGTTGGCACCCGGGGACAAAATGAATGAACGGTACTGTAAATAATGAAACACTGCAATAAAACATTTGTATTTCAAGGCACCTTGTGTGACTGGAGCATGCTATTGTATGCAACATTAAAGGGAGCATATCTTGGTTTCTGCTGGCTATAGTTCTAGACAGGAAGTCTTTGTCAGCAGGGAAAATCCTGTGTTAAGAGCCATAAGGTGAAGCTGGGCTGCGCTGTAATGTTTTTGTGCACCCTGTTTACGAACCCACACCCTAACTCTGAACCAGAGTGTGAAGAAGGGTTGCTGACCAGCCCTCTCAAACTGGAGGCAGCGGCGAGACCAAAGCACTCGGTGGTGGGTAGACGTGCCTGGGGACAGCAATAGCTGCTGTGTGCAGGAGGCATGTTGTGTCACCGCTGTCTGCTTGTTAAGCCTGTTCTCAGCTTTTGTCTTTCCCAATGTTGAAGGCGGTCCGCCTGTGCAACCCCACGCTGTTTCAGGCCCCAAGACAAAGGCCTACTGTAAGGATTTGGTCACCCCATGGTACTTCGACTCTTGGCTGGAAGGGGTGGAGGAAGAGGTGTAGATTCCCCCTCTGAAGCAAAGCAGGTTCTCCCCTACAGCTCTCCTCCTCGTGAGGAAACTTAAAGTAACACTGACCGTGAACTAAGTAGCCCGGCACTGCCGTTTTCCAGCCCAAGTATTCATCCTCTTGGGAAAGTGCTACTGCCCTTGGGAACCACTTGTGAACTCCTTACACCACTTGTGAACTCCTTACACCGCATCTGGAGCACACCAACATCAGCACCCCTTTGGGGTACCAAAGGAAGATGCATGTGTTCAATAGGGAAATAAGGTTATAGCAAATACACCAAGACGCTGTGCTGGATGGGAACACAGCAGTCAACCTGTAACTGTAAAGCCCAGTCGGTTGTGGGGTGTGAACACCGCCTCATTGGTGCACAGACTAAACACGACAGGAAGACAGCAGTATTTCAGGTTTTTTCCCCCCCTCCTAAACATTTGTGTTCAGGCTTTTGGAGGCATGTTGTTAGCAGCTGGTAGGGAGACTGAAAAAAGCTCTGTGAGGAACAGCCCTGTTTTCAGCAAAGTGGTGTCTAGATTCCAAATTTTAGCTGGCTGTGGAATTACAGGTATTCTGTGCAGAACTGGTTTTAGAAATGCTGATGCTGAAAATGTGAGAGCGGTCTCAAATTGACACAGAATTTTTTTTAATGGGACTACTGCACTACCAAAATGCAGTTACTTACCTGCATATAAAGTTGTGGTGATTTAACAAGCCTGTCTGCCTTCAGTGCGCTTCAGTCTAAGCACTTTTTTAAGTAGAGAAGGTTAGTACCTAGACAACGTTTTCCTTTTAAGTTAGGTTTCTGCAGCTGAGTGCTGGATTAAAGTAGTAACTTCTGATTTTGCTTGGGTCTTTTCAGGACTTTCCGTGAAACCTAAAAATCTTGCATGTATTAGTGTTTATTTTTATTTTCTCAGTGATATCCTTGCAAGAGTTCCAGAGTTTTTATTGACAAAATACGGTAAGATTTTTTTCAAATGTAAGAAATACACATTCACTTTCAATCCCGTCAAAAAAGACTATGAGTTACTTTCCTCATATTTGAAAAAAAGTGGAGAGGAAATGCTCTCCACTGACCAACAAGGGGAGGTGTGGGCCCGCAGCTACCCGGGCCTTCAGCGGCCGGGGGGGTGGGGGCGCACACACTGTATTTAAGCGACATAATGAACATGCGATCAATCAAAAGTCTCAGCATCCCACCTGCAAGCAGGATGTGACACCCTCAAACCCCCCTAAATGTACAAGAAACGATGATCATCAATGCACAGTTTGACAGAGACTGAGCGTCCTCCTTGTCAAATACTTATTTCAGGTGCAGTGGGACTTGGGGGCAGATATTGCAGCATCAGTTTTGTTAGCCCTTGCAATGCATGTGCGTTTAGGGCACAAAATACGTCCGTTTTCTGAAGCGGACTGAACAACAAGTTAGAAACAATTTATCCGTCTTGAAGGGATTTTCCCATGATCATAATCTGGCAACACAGGGGGGAAGCAGTTAAATACACAAAAGTGCAATTACTGCCAGTGTTAACAGGCAGATTATGAAACCCATAACTCAGGCTGAGCAACCTCTTCGCCTGGGCTCACTCTGAGTCTGTGCAAGCTCCAGCAACAGAAATGCAGCAAGTCACGTAGTAAAAGGTATGCAAATCCCAGTCACTTTCCTGAGCCTACTTCACTATCCAGAACTTCTGAGGGTGCTTACCTAAAATCAGATTGCTTTCCTGTGTCCTGACTGCATGACCTCAAGCTTTGTGTACTACCTCCACTTGCACCAACGTTTGCCTTCGGGCGTGATTCTATCTCTTCTGGCAGTTGGAAATGAGCTGCATGAGAAAAATCAGGCAAACAACAGGCAAAATGTTTACAAATGGCAAATGTAGAAGAATGAGAGACTTGGGGAAAGGCTCGAGTCAATAAAGGTCTGTCAGAGATAAAATTCCATGTTCAGATGGCAACCTCAATCACACAGCTTTCCAGAAACTCCAACGTGACACAACTGCCCTGAACTGCACCGAGAATCACAGGCGGTTGCGTTTAGCTCGCCTGGCGAGAGCCTGCTCTCTGCTGAGGCTGCTACTGCACGTTCAGTGCCATAAAAGCTTGTGACCACTCTTCCAGCACAAAATGACGCTGAGACATATTTTACAACCAAGTCATTGTCAGGCAATAAAAACCCAGCCAATTAACCTGTTCAAGCTTAATTAGAGCCAAGGCCTGGAAGGTGAGTAACTCCAGATGACTCTCACAGTTAACTCTGACTTTCTACCTTCATTTAGGCTGAAATTGCTTTTAAAGCTATTTTCAACATCCTCTTGCTGTGGGTGTACAGTTTTGCACATCTAAGTACTTTATTCCAGATGCTCTACTTTAATTTTTTGCTGGCTGCTTTTACCACATCTGTATTTGTTTTCTGAACCTTTGCATGTTCTCTCGACTGGAACTGGCAGAAAATGCAGCACCCTTAGCCAGGAGATTAAACTTATATTTGTAATTCTTTCCTGGCCCTGTCAACAAGTTTGGTGCTGCTGTCACTTCATGGCATTTTAAAGCAATTCTTTGGCTTCCAGACAGTTTCATATTAAAGCTGTTCAAATACCAAAAAAAAAAAAAAAAAGTCAACAGGCAGCTGTATAATTTCTGTCATCAGACTTGTCTGCTCAAAAGGGTCCGCAAGGGCTGTCATGTTCCATCGCTTCAGGCAAAAAGCCCACACAAATAAATACCTGCTGTTTCGTCCTCCATGCCATGCCTTGTCATTCGCTATGATGGGGACTAGTTTAGCCCAGTTTTAGATGATTCTTTTCCACTGAAGCGGTGACTTGATCTTTCGATTACTGCACACAACCTACGTGAGGCGGTGCTGCAGCCAGCGTCCTGATGGAGATAGATAATGAAAGCACACGCGCGCTGGGCCGTGACTAAGAGGACACACGCATGCCTCTGGCCAACTGCCTTGCTTTTAAGCGCCCTTGCTACCTGGCAGCATCCCACAGAAGAATTTCTCTGATGCTTATTAAATTAATGGTCCCGAAAATGAATGCGCTAAGCAGGAAACTATGCAGTTATAGCTGTTCCTGGGAGCGGCAGTGAGGCTTGGCTCTGGTTACACAGCCAGCAAGAAAAGTTCTTGTGTCTTCGTTTGCTTGACGGGTGAAACTTAGCACAGGCCAAGAATCACAAGTAAATTATCTTCCCCTACACACATTTTCCAAGAAAAAAAAGTAGGACTGTGCAAGTCAGCACACCTAACCCAGCACGGGCTGCTGGGAGGAGGTAATTGCAAATCCATGCACCGTCCTGACTCGGTCTGAGTCAGAGCCACACCAAACAACTGCCAGAGGAAACAAACAGCACGTTGCAGCCACCAATGTGATTGCATTTAGCTGTCAAATAAATTGTCCTTGCACGTTACTTCACAAAGCAGCTTTCTGCTCCCTTCTTACCGATATGTTGTGCAAGTGGTCGTCAACTCCCCAGCCAAAACCACGGTCAACACAGGACAGAAAGAACAGGAACGAAAGAGCAGAGCCAAACAGCCTTTCTTTCTTGCAGTTCTCAATAGGCATGCTAGCTCCCACTGCTCTATTTCCGTTTTGTACCCTATGTCTTCCTTCTACCTTCCAAAAACTGCCATGCCCCTTTCTCTTCTCTCCTCCTTTTCCCAGCTCGTCACCCTTGGCTCTGCATCAGCCCAGCTCGTTTCCATGCTCTTCATCGCTATCCACCAAATGAGAGTTGCTGGACCACTGCGAGGTCAGCTAACAGTAACTTTACCTCTGACAACCTCACTGGTAATTCGGCACTCTCCATCTTTATAGAAGATCCAAGACTCCAGCTTTTCCTGCGAGACATCCTCTCAGCCCCATGGACGTGCTCTTCCTGCTTGTAACGTCTGCGTGCACTTAGGTTCTCACACTAAGCCCTTCAGGGTAGAAGCCTGTTCAATTTTGGCACTGACGTTGCTCTCATGCATGCCAACACTCCCTCACCAGAGCCTGGCAGAGGAACCACAAGAAGCCTGACACGGGCCTTACTTGGCCTGCTCCGCAGCGCCCAAGCCACTTGAACCAGGACAGCCATCCTGGAGGAGCAGACTTCGCTGTGTCTCAGCTTCAGAGTCAGCATCGCTGCTATCTCCAATCCCGCCGTGGGATCTGTCTGCTTCTGCAAATACTGCAAGTTTTTTCCTCTGCACCTCTGCAGCGGTGATTCACACCCACTGACGACGGTTTTCTAATAAAAGGTTAGTTGCCACCCTTGATTACCATTTTTCTCATTGAAAGAAGGTCAAAGTTGTCAGACAAAATGAACCGGTAAAATGGACATCTACTTTTGTCTTTCTTTAACGCTGTCAACCAAAAGAGACAACACGAGACCACCGTGCACGGAGTCAGTAAGAGAGGAAAAAAGGACAACACATACCTGCCAGGTATCCAGGGCTTCTGAGACTGCTTGGCCCAGTAAAACATGCCCAAGCCTCACCAAGATAAATGGGACTTGGAAATACATTTCAATATTTTCCCAAAACAGCACTGGAAAGTGCCAATATCACTGTGTCAAGATGAACACCTGGGTTTCAAACTTCAAGTTTAAAACAATTAGAAATGTACAATTTTGACACTTTCCCTCAAAAGACAGTGATAAAATGAAGCAAGTTCACGTCACTGAACGCTTCAACCAGTTCGGCCCTTGTGCTGAGGAAGATGCTCGGCACTACCACACGTGGCACGACCAGATGAAGCCTCAGCTGCGGAGGTAAGCTGTGCCCAGCGGCGGGCCTTGGGTGGCTGCGCCTGACTGGCACGGGGGCGGTTAAAAACAACACAGTTTCAGATCACAAAAACAATTCCCTCTCCCCCGGCAGCTTATTTTTCATTTCATCTTTACAGTTCTGACCAATATCCTTTGCATCGGAAGAATTTAAAGACAAACAAGTCTAAATTCACTTTTTAAACTCACACATATATATATGTATTTATCTCTATACACACGTGCACACCCAGCAATTCATCCTCAATACAGAAGACAAACAAGCAAAAGATCTGTAGCACAATTTCTTTGGAGAGGCTTTGTTTTCTGTTTGTTTAAGCTGTATCACAGATCTAGGATTCACCTTTTCGAAGGACTTGTCAAAGGCCACAAACACTTATTCACAGAGGCCTCCGAGTGCAGATGCGGTGCCGAAGCACTTACAACACGTCCAGGCCCTCCCCTAGTTTTTTGGCACATCTTTCGCCCCGAGTGACTCCCCTGGGCGAGATGGCGAGCGCCCCGCTCTCCACGAAGCTCCTCGGTTAGACGTTACAGCGGCCAGGCTGCCGCCGGGGCCCAGCACGGGCGAAGAGCCGCCAAGGAGGTGAGACCTGGCACGTTACTCCACAAGAGATGAGGACGGCCTGACAGGTTTAAGACCAACATTCCCCGCTCCGGAAACCTGACAATCACTCTTTGAAGAACGTTTGCACTGACACACACATTCAAACATTAAATTAGGACAGGAAAAAAAGATATCGGTCGGGCTGCAGTTTTGCTTAAGCAGAAGTGGACAACATTGCTGCGTTGTTACCGACGAGGCCTTGGACCCAAAGAAAAACTCAGCAATACCGAGCAGGAGAGCAAAAACCCACCAAGAAGTCCAGGAACCGGGTACCTTTACAAAACACGTGGCCAAACACAAGCTGCAACATGGTGCGGTTATAACGCGCACAAATCCCCGCTTCAGGAACACAGCGAGATTATGGAAACAAATTCAGAAATGCTGCTGATGGCCTGGGAACACTGCCGGTTTCAGCAAGTGACAGCGGTTCCTCAAAGTGCAATGAATCTAAAGAAAGCAGAGGCTGCCAAGGAGAGATTTTAGCGTGCGGAGAGCAGGATTGGGCTGAGACGCTGCCATCAACTTTAACGCAGCTGTTTGGCCAGAAACAACATTTGTCTCTGAAAAGGGTAAGCAAGGTCAAAGTGAGAAAAAAACCTAATCTATAATGTATAACAAATCTCAAAATAAATTATATGCGTTTTCAAAATTCGGTTTGGTCAATACAGGTCAATAAATAAACAAATAAACATTACTGGAAAACAACCCCAAAATGTTTTACCTGATGCCAGCTGCCACCACCGAGACCTCCCGCGCCACCTTCACCCCTCTGTGGCTTTTCGGCCGTTTCCCCGCCGAGTCTCCTCCTGCGCTGCACGTCTCCTTCCCTCCCCATCTCCAGCACTTCTCCCCCAAGGCAGTCTGATACATAGCATGGAAAACATACCTTTCGGGGACTTCAGCGGGAGCCAGGAGGGGAGGAAATGGTGCGCCAGAGCACGAAGCCCCGAAGCACAAGCCCCGAAGAAAAGGCTCCCCGAGGAGGGAGGTGGCACAGCCGGTCTTCAGCGACCCACCTCACCCCACCAAAACCAGAGCAAAACTCATCACAGGCGTTAAACCCACAAATCCCAGGCAGATACAGCCACAACTAAAAGCAATCTTCGCATGGTCTTTTTCTCACCCTATGTGAATCTGGCAACTAGCCTCAGGTCAGCATGGTTTCATGCTACTTGAAACAATAACCCATTTCAGTGAATTTAGTCCCAGTTCCACTTTGCGTGAGTGAATGCACCAGCAGGCTCCTCCGGTCTGTTTGGTAGCCAAAATCCCAGCAGATGCTCACCTGGGAACGTTTCACATTTCACTTCTGATAAACTATGTTTTCTTTCTTTTATTCTTACTTCAATACCAATATTGCCATTGGGATTTTAAGCGTGCAGCGAAAAAGTGCATTGACCTAAAAAGAGTGTATGTTTCTACACACAGAATCTGTAACAGCAACATCTCTAGTGAGTATTAAAACAGGTTTCAGTATCCTCTACAATTTGCATACTATTAAAAAAAAAAACGCATCCATTATTAGCAAATAGTCTTAGGTGCAATGCATGTTGCAAAAAGGACCTGAATTACACACACGAGTTATATCACAACAGTGCACAGAGAAATGCAAAATCACTCTTCCAAGGAACAGCTACTTTTTTCAGCGCAACACAGAAAGCAGAAAAATACCCAAACAAGAAGCATAAGGCCGTTGCCAAGGGATCACCTTACGTGACCAATGAGAAGTGGAGCTGCTACAGGAAATAACTCCCGAAGGAGCACTCGGGCCAGCTGACAAGCATCCCGAGCGGGTCAGCGCTCTCCTCCGCAGCGCGTTTCGGCAATGTCATAACAAACGATACGTGAGCAGACCCTCCTCCTACAGCCACATCTTGCCACACCTTTATGGCACATGCATAACAGTACGCTTGCATCACAGTTTCTGCCTTGTATTCTTACTTTCTTGTTTAACTTGTTAGACTACGGGAAGCAAAACTGTAGAGTCTTCCTCCAAAAGCCACCCAAAGCCGCTCTCCGTTGGCCATTGATTGCCAGGTTGAAAAAGAGATCCCGATGTATCCCGAATCCCTTTCACTAGGATACAAGGCAGATGTTTGTGTGTTGTGGCTCTCCCGCCACTCTGAACATCTAGATTCGCACCCATTCTTGTTCCTAAAGGAAAGGGCAAGAAGTGACAAATACGGAAAAAATTCAAACAATGGCTTCTCTCGCACAGAAATTTATACTCAAACCTCATTCAGAAATGAAACACTAAGACCATTCAGAGAGAAGAGGCAAATTACAGTGTCGCTACACGAAGCTGAGAACATGAGGACTCTTGCAACAACTCTTAATGAATAGGCTACTTCATTTATTGTTTATTACCCCATATGAATGAATCAATCATTTTGGAAATTCCATCACACACAGGGCAGAAAAGGTTATTTACAAGAGGGAGATACACCCCCAAAATAAATTTAAGATGTACAGATTTATAACGGGAACCAAGAGGGAGAGGACAAAAACAAAAACAAGGACATCGCAGCCAGACTTTGACTTTCAATTACAGAAGAGATCTACGTCTCCACCTAAGTGGGGCTTTTCAGCTATTAAATAAATGGCATCTTAAAAATAGAACATTTGACAATTTAAACACATGTATTATTTCTTCTAAATAAATATTGCATGGAAATGATGCTGCTTTGCTACCATAGCATCCTTCTCTCCTCCTGGGACTCAACCATCACCTTTGTTTTTCCTTCCATTCCTGGGTTTGTTTCCTAACGGCAAATGGCATTTCCCCCACTCTTTCTTGCGGGGCCTGACCAGGCCCCACTGAAAACTATGGGCATCTTTCCTCACACCCTTCGCGGGCCTCTGACCTGGCTCAAGGTTGAAACACGATGGCTTTTTAAAAAAGTAACTACTATTTAAACAGTCTCTTCTGCAGACTAAAACAGAACATAGCTTCATGGTTTGCAGCTTATCACGGATGCTTCCAGAGCCCACTCCTCACTTCTGAGATGAGACCCCCCCCAAAACGAAACCCCGTATGCACGCTCTGCTAACTGCCCGCGGTCTAGTTTCCGACCGATGCCAAGGGCAGTTTGCTGACGGCTGCCCTGGGAGCGTGAGCGGGCCGTGCGCAGCCGC